TTCATACGGGTGCAGGTGCACATATGTATGTGGATGTGTGGAGAACTGTGCAGCTCTTGCGCATGTGTGTTTTCATACGGGTGAGGGTGCACATATGCATGTGGATGTATGAGAGGCCAGAGGTCAGCCTTCGCTACTGTCTCTTGAATATTGGCCAACTTGTTTTTTGAAATGAGATCTCTGGTTGCTCTGAAACTTGCCAAGCAGCCCTGCTGGCTGCCCAGGGAGCCCACGGATCCTCCTCGGGCCTGGGATTATAGATGAGCCTCATGCCAGCCTTTTAAAAAAAAAGATTTCTTTTATTATTTGCTGTATGTGTGCATGTGCATGTCTTTGTGTACGCATATCCACATGTGTGCTGGCACCCACGGAGGCCAGAAAAGTGCATCAGATCCCCCGGGAGCTAGAGTTACTGGTGGTTTTAAGTCACAAGATATGGATGCTGGAAACCGAACCCCAGGCTTTCACATGAACAGTATGTACCCTTAACCGCTGTACCATCTCTCCAGACCTCTAGTGGTGGCAGCTGACTCTCCTCTTCCTTAAACTCCTCCTCCTTCTTTCCAACTGTGGGTTCTAGGATATCAGACTCAGGTCCCTGTGCTTGCCAGGCAAGCCCTTTACCAGCTGAACTGTCACCACAGCCCGGGCCATGGAATAGACGAAAGCTGTGAAACTTTTGAGAAGTAAGGCCTGGTTGAGCACTGGGAGTAAGGCTTGGATCGCAGTTGTACAGCATCTGACCTCTGAGGCCAAGTCGTCGCCTGCCCTCGGAGCTCCTGCCATCCTCCTTCCTACACTACGAGCCAGAACAAACCTCTCGTTCTTCAAGTTGCTTCTGGTCAGGTGTTTGGTCACCATGATGAAAAACATAACAGACATTATAGATTCATGACATTTCTCCACGTGGGACTTTCTCCTCCCCCTTGACAACCAAGGGTTAAATTTCTCTTCGCCCTCAAAGAACCCTTCCCCATTCTCTCCCTGCTCTGTTTTTGCTCTTGGTACTGTCGTCCTTCCTGTAGGCTCCATCGAGTATGACATTGAGGTCTCTTTATAAAAGCTTGTCAGGTTCTCTATTAGATAGCAGTACCCTTGAGGGCAGGGACACCCACCACTTTTCTTGAGTTCCTTAATGCCAGGGTCTTCCTTATACTTGAGAGTGACCCATAAATGAATATTGAAGGCAATTGGAAGTCACAGAGGGAGAGTGGGAGAGTTGAAGAAAATATCATTGAAGTTTCTGCAGCAATTTTGTGGTTCATTTCACAAAATGGAGTTGGGAGGCTGTAGCATGAATAATAAAAACCCAGAGACAGATATTGGGGTTCAGTCTGAAGATTAGAGAAAAGCAAAGCATCCAGTCATTGGCTCTTACCTCTACCTCAGTCTGAAATGGTGATCTTGCCTCTAGGAGTTCTCATATTGAGACTGAGCTGAGAACTGTCTCCTCCCAGCTTATATTCCTCTCAGTGCTGGGATCAAAGGCATTCACCACCACTGTCCAGTTTCTATGGCAAACGAGTGTGGCTACTGGGATTAAAGATGTGTGTCACCACTGTCTTGCCTGTATGTCTGACCAGTGTGACTGTTTTACTCTCTGATCTTCAGGCAAGCTTTATTTATTAAGATACAAATGGAATATTACTACATTTCTTTTTACAGACCAGGCAGTGGTGGCACACATCTTTAATCCCAGTAACCACACTAGTTTGCTATAGACACTGTATAGTAGTGATGCACGCCTTTAATCCCAGGGCAAGAGAGGAATATAAGACAGGAGGAGACAGCTTTAGACACAGTCTCATTCTGAGACTTGATTGAGATATTGAACCCCAATATCTGTCTCTGGGTTTTTATTATTCATGCTACAGTAGTCCCCTTAAGCAAGTTTCTAAATTGCCTGGTTCTTCACTTGCTGGCATGACCATGGAAGAGACAATCAATCTTCAACCCCAGCCCAAGAAAGGAAGGAACTATTAGGCTTAGGAAGACATGCAGACATGGTAGTTCTGGCCTGGGGAAACTTGGCTGATCTCGTCTGGGCTCACTGTGATCCACTGGCAGGCCAATTGGGAAAACTGGGTTAATTTCTACAGGGTCTTCTCTGTGGTTTGGCCCGGTCATCTTTATACAGTGGGAAAGCCAGATGAGTGAGAAGGGAATTATGCAATACCATTGAAGCCCTTATTTTGAACTCTTCAGTGTTGCTTCTGCCTCAATCTATTGCACAAGTCAAGTCACAAACATTGCCCAGATCTCAGAGATGGATAAACTGCCTCTCCTTAAAGGAATGACAAGAAGCAAAGTTGATTTGCGCTGATTGTAGATTCAGGGAGGGGTGACGAGCGCCGACTGCTTTAGCAATATGTCAGTATCAATCAGGATACTTCTCCCTTTGGTAGCAGAGGCACCAGCGCGCTGTCTAAGTAATAATGAATACTCCATCTAACCAAATAAGAAAGAGAAGTTGTTCCACTGTAAAAAGTAAAATTGGGGTTTACTAAAAGGTGTTTAATTTTGAGCGTGAGAGTTGAAAGAAGAGACAGGACAGTGGGGAATAAAGCTGGGAGCCTAGGTTGGTTTTTATTCCGTTTTCCACTGTTGTCCTCAGCGTACTGGTTTGGGTCTAGAGCATCCTTGCACCGTTCCATTTGAGTCTTGGGACATCCTCCTCTCCACCTGAGCAGTGATGGGTAGAAGGCGCCGACAGTCAACTCCTCACTGCTAGTTACGTAGGTGGGAAGCGGCGCTGGAGATAGTGGGCCTCATGCACACATATCCCCACCCAAAGTGAGCAGGTTAGGGGTGCGGAGAGCAGGGCAAGTAGCCTTGCCCAGGATCATAGATTTGGGCTTATTTCTCTATAGGTTCCATAGTTCCTTAAGTTAAAGCAACAACCACAACAGCAAAAATTACAGATGGAAACCATTTTGGTAGGAGGTGATGTGGACACAGAATTCCAAGATCGGCAAGTTACAATAAACACTTTTTTAAAAAAATTGGGCCAGTGTGGTGGTCAGGTAGCACACATTCTGCACAAAGCCTGGGGCCCCGAGCTTTCTGGAACCTCAGTCAAGGTGGGAAGAGAGAATCCGCTCCGCAAAGTTGTCTTCTGGCTTCCTCAAGTGCACTGTGAGTCTCTCACACTAAATATAAACTTTAAAAAATTTAAATGACTTATTTGTATGTTTTGTGCATTGGTGTTTTGCCCGAAGCCTGAATATATGTCTGTGTGGGGTATCAATTCCCCTGGAACTGGAATTACAGTTGTGAGAGTCATGTGGGTACTGGGAATTGAACCTGGGTCCTCTGAGAGCAGCTGAGCCACCACCAGACAGCTGCAGCAACAAACATTTTTATCCATAGGATTCTTATTTTGACTCCCTGCATTTGCTGCATGAGCTGTGTAATTGGGAACACATTTCTTTAAATATGAGAGAGCCCCGTGGGCTGAGTCTCATGGCTTACGTATGCTGTCCAATAGTGTAACACAGCAAAATGGCAGACAGAAGCTACGGAGCTCTAATTCCCAGATCCAGGTTGTAAAAGGTGTGTCTCAACACACAGCGATGTCCAGGCAAACAAAGAGGTTTGCTTGCCAGCCAGTTGGGAAGTTGCATTATTCCGTTGTCATTTAAGTGTCTGTCTTCCCATTTCTCTCCTTGTTAACTGTGTAGGCTTCGAGAGCCTTTCCTCTTTCTAGAAGTATCATTGCTACTGTGACATCCATGGCTGTGGGAAGTGAGTTCCACACTTAGGCTCTCAGTGAAAGTTACGTGGCGGCTGCTGATTGGACAGAATTTGCTCCATCAGCATGAACATGAGGATTAGTGTGTGTGGTGGTGGTTGTCAATTATTTTGCCTATGATATCTTAAATACCCTCTACATATCTTTTAAAAACAATCCCAAAATGCTTTTAGAAAAAAAATTAACTGTGTAGTTGGTCAATGTTCAAATATTGGTAATGAAAGTATAAATTTGTGATTGACATAAAATGGATAGTCTAAAGTTGCCTGTTGTAGAGGTGTTACAGGTCGAACCTCAGGGCATAAAGCTAGCTGAAAGGAATTCGAGATAATTTTCACTTAAGAATTTTGCCCGGTGGTTGGTAGTACTTGCCTTTAAGAGGCAGGAGGGTCTCTGTGAGTCCCGGGCCAACCTGGTCTACAGGGTTAGTTCTAGGATAGAGAAACCCTGTCTCAAAAAAACAAAGACAAAATATTTTAGTCTTTGGGCGTAGTGGCACACGCCTTTGATTCCAGCACTTGGCAAGCAGAGGCAGGAGGATCTCTGAGTTCGAGGCCAGCCTGATCTACAAAGGGAGTTCCAGAACAACCAGGTCTACACAGACAGAAAAACCAAACCAAACCAACAAACAAATTGTAGCCTTTTTCTATGAATCAAAAACTCATAACCAGAAATACAGGACAAAATTTGTGCCTTTTTCCAGTATTATGCCTGGAAGAGCATGCGCAGGATTTGGGTTTGCTCACTTTGGGCTCTGCCACTGTGGTCGAGGTATCAATGTCATGGTTGGTTATGTTGGGCAAATGTCAATCCCATCTTCTGATAAATGGTTTTAAATGCCGACTGTAGGATAGTGGGACACTGTGGGCACCGTGAAAGGCTCGCTGAATTAAACAGGATTAGCATGTGCATTGGCAGTTCTACATCACCACATCCTCAAAATTAGAGAAGGCAGCTCTCTGGGTAAGTGTCCGTACAGTAGCACCCAGAGCAGTGTTGTTCACCAGAGGCGGGAGGCGGAAGCCAGTCCATGGCATGCCTGACGGACAGGAAACCCGAGTGTGGCCACTGCTAATGATTGGCTTTAAAGAGCAAACTGTCTTGCCTTGCATCCCAGCACGGGTGACCACCGAAAGACCAAAACTGTGATTCAGCACCTTTATCTACTTGAGGTGGGAGGTCGTATGTAAATTTATATACATCCTTTCGACTCTAATAAATGCTAGATATAACATTCTTCCTTAAACAGAGTTCCCAGAGATGGCGGGACACCTGAAAATGCCCCGCTAATCTTCCCATCTTTGTGAAGGAAGTGCCGATCTTCTCTTCTGCTACTTCCTCTTCTCTCCTGAGCAGAGCAGTGAACTAAGTGTCTTTGTGTCCTACGGCTGCAGTCATCAGATGTTTCTACCTTCTTCCCCTTTCTCACCTCTTCTGGAAGCGAGTCTGCCTACTGGAAATATGTCCGAGTCTTGCTCTCGATCAAGAAGTCCACTGCTTCTGAGAATCTCATCACAGAATGGATGAATCACCCCAGTTCCTGCCTGCAGGATTGGAACCCACAAACCTGAAGCTGTTCGGCTTTAGTTCTTCATTACCTACTTTATAGAGGGACGGCTATGGTCTGGTCTTCCACCTGCTGTGTGCTTCGGTCTTTATTTCTCAGTTGAACTTCAGGAATGAAATTAAGATGACTATTTATTCTTTTCTCTCTTGGGTCCCTTGAAAATGCAATACATTTTACTTAATCGGTGGCTCAGTGTGGTCAATATTTGAAAGCCCCGCCACCACGCACTTGCACAGAATTAGCTTGTGTCCCAGGTTCTCACACTGCTTTCTTTGCCTGTCTTTTTCTGTTAAGTTTTATCCCATTGTGTTACAGTTATCTAAAGTTCCTCCCCCTTTTAATTCACTGAATAAAACTGCATTTCAACAACCTACGTGTCCAGCTAACAGCTACTAGCCTGGGATGTGTGAGGTGAGCCAAACATCCATTACCCTGCTCCACTTTTGCTACCGCTGTTTGTCTGTTTTCTTGGTTATTATATTTGTGGAGAAGAAAAGAAATCTTTGCATGAAGTGGGGCTCAGAGTGACTTATTTTCTGTTAAGACGATGTATGGGTTTTGCCTACTAGCAAAACATGGTCTTGTGTACTGCTCTGTGTGTCTTATAATTAGGAAACTGTTTTCGTCCTTTTGAAAGGTTAAGGCATAAATAAAAAGAGGCAAATGCAGAGGATTGGTCAGCAAGGACGTGAGACTCAAATCCCATCTCGCAGTTCACAGTCCCTGCCAGCTTTCCTTGCCAGTTTGCTCGTCCTCAATTCATGCGTGCATAAATTCCCTAGCAGTGTGTAAGTCCGAGTGTGTAATTTTATGTGAAAGCGTATATAATAGATGTACTAACTATATCTAATTAGTGCTCACACTGAAAACCTTTTATGTTTATTTTAGTGTGTGTGTGTGTGTGTGTGAGTGTGTGCGCGTGCGTGAGTGTATGTATACACGTGTGCCATGGTTCACATGTGGAGGTCAGTGAATAACTTACAGGAGCCAGTTCTTTCCTCCCGCATGGATTCAGAGGCTTGCACTCAGTTCCTCAGGGTCGTCAGCAAGTGCCCAGATCCACTGAGCCAGTCGCCAGCCCACAGACACTGACTTGTATTTAACATTATCTTGGTGCACACGCTTTTGTCACATTGTTTCCAAGTCATGATTTTTGGTAGAAGTTTGTATAGTATATCTTGTTAGAAACATTTCATAATCCAGCTGGGGGCAGAGGCACATGCCTGTAACTCCAGTAGTAAGAAAGCTGAGGCAGGAGGATCACTCTGAGTTCCACATCAGCCTGAGCTACACAGTGAGTTCCAGGCCAACCTATTTCATTCAACAGAATGAAACCTTGTCTCAAAACCCCATGAAAAACCAAGAAACCAGACCATCAACAAAAATCACAATTCAAGCATTTTCCTTATCAGATTGTTTGAAACTGGCTTATTTAAATCAATTTTAGCAATGTGCTTTCCCAAAACGTATAACTGTGGTGCTATTCATAGCAGAGCTGAAGGGCTGGCGCAGTAGAAACCAAGCTGGTGAGTGATACCGGGGGCTGTGCCACCACACAGGCAGTAGCTGTGAGCGGTGCTCTCCACCACAGCTCTCCCCAGCTACTGTGCACCGTTCTCTAGGGCCAGCCGGACATCGGTGCCAGACCACTGTATCCTGGGCTACCACAGACTACAGTGACTACTGTCCAGCCGCCAGGGTGTGGTCTATCAAGTGGCCCATGTGACAGACTGACACCAGAGCTCCGCCTAGTGCGTCACCGGGTCTTCACGGCACCAGGCCGTCAACAAAGACTCTTTCACACAATCTGAGTTTGCGATCTTTTAGGAGTCTCAGGCAAAATATGGCACACTGTTGTAGGGCACGTGTGAAACCATGGCAGGGCATGACCAGCGGAAGAGAGAAAGCACAGGCAGGGAGGACCCTGCAGGTCGTGGCTGGGCCGGAGGAGCGGTGGCAGATGCTGGCTGCTGAAGCCAAGTCAACAGAACAGGTGCTGGAGGTAGTCCGTGTCCTGAATGACATTCCCAGCTCAGCCAGGCCCTGCCAGGCAGCTGCTAAGGCTGCTTCCTGCTCTTCCTACTTCCTCCTGTGGCCTCACAATGAACCACATTGACCCAAGTCACCAGAGCGTGTCTCTTTTCACGGTGACCCAAAAGAGCCCAAGCAGCACCGTGTAACATTCATATCTCTGTCCTAGCAAGGCTCGGGGGGCATGAGGGTGAGTCCCTTGTCAGGCTTCTCTCCTTTAGGATGAGGGCTGTGTTTAGTGTCTTCAAGGATATACCCTTAGCAACTGGACAGTGTGGCCTCATATAGTAGTGTAAAGGAGGATCAGGAACATTCCTGTGGCCAACAGAGCAACTGGAAAACATTTCTCCAGAGGAGCTAAGGTTTTTGTTTGTTCTTTGGTTTCTTGTTTTATTTGCTGATACTAAAGTATATATATATATATACACATATATATATATGTCCATTAGCTTTTGGGTTTTTTTTTGCATGTATATTTATGTGTGACAGGCATGTGTATATGTATGTTCACATGTATGTGAGCATAGGTGTGAGTACACATGCATGTTGAGGTATAAAGCTGAAGTCACGTGTCTTCTTCCATCACTCTTCATGTTGTATATTGAAACAAGGACTCTCACTGAGCCTGGAACTCATTGACTTGGCTGACCTGGCTAGTCAGATTGCTAGGGATCCCCCCCCGTCTCTGCCTCATGTATGTGGGGGTTATAGGTCCCACACTGGCTAGTCAGATTGCTAGGGAACCCCCGTCTCTGCCTCATGTATGTGGGGGTTATAGGTCCCACACTGGCTAGTCAGATTGCTAAGGATCCCCTGTCTCTGCCTCGTGTATGTGGGGGTTAAAGGTGAGCTCCCATACTTACCTGGCTTCTACTTGGGTTCTGGAGACCTAAACTCCAGGCCTCATGCTTGTGGGACAAGCCCTTTGCCTAGCAAGCCATCTTCCCCTAATAATTTTGTTTGAATCGATACCTTGACAGGTCTTTAGTCCTGCTATAAATAAAACACATTTAAAAAACATATTTATCCAGCAAACATGAGCAAACGTGGCAAGCATGAACACTAGAATATTATGCAAACTACCTCTCATGTGCCTCATAGAAGCTCTGTAGGGAGAAAGCACAGAAAAAAAATTCTAGATCCAGTGGGGGTTTTTGCTTGTTTGTTTTTGTACCATCCACTCTGAGAAGAATAAGGCCGTGTAGAACACCTGTTTGCTATGAAGCACTGTGAAAGTTTGCTTTGGAAATGCACCTTGAAATAAGACACAGCAAGTTGCACAGAAATGCAGTTCTGTTAAGGGGAAATAAGCATCTTTAACAATGACTGGGGGTCAGGGAGATGCAGAGATGCTCAGTGAGTAAAACTACTCACTGGATAAGCATAGTAACTCAGAATTCAGATCTCCAGAACCATGCGGAAAGCCTGATGTTGTGGTTCACATCTGTAATCTCAGACCTCGCCAGAAATGACACAGATGCTGCCTCAGGTGGAAGATGGGAGCTGAGCCCATCTGTCACACATGCACACACACACACACGCACGCACACACACACATGCACACCACACATGCACGTACACACATACTCACACACACGCACACACATGAACACACCACACACGCATGCACACACACACACACACACACACACACACACGTGCATGCATGCATACAGAATTGGTGCACCCTATACACTGTCAGTTTAACTGAACACAATCTTCAAATTTCAGACTCCTTTTAAGTTTTTTGAAATGACTGGGGAGTGAGTTCCAGAGTTAGTTTTTCCCTAGTAATATAAACATGTCACCAATCTTAAGGTGGGGTTTTGTGATTATTTCACATGAGACAAGACACCACCAATTGTTTTTTCCAAAACAAGACTTAGCAAATGGCAGAATTGCATAAGCTTACTAATGTTTTCTAATGAGCTGAATGAGTTCAGTTTGGCAATGGGGCAATGCACTATCACCGTGTTTACACAGAATATATATGTCAACAATAGAGCCAAACTTAACTTTGTGACTCCAAGTGTAAGACGCTTGTTTTGCTGTGCTCAAGCCCTAAGGGATGGTTTCTAAGACATCTGCATTAAAAAAAATTATCAAAATTTTCATTGATATTGCAAATCAATTTAAAGAATATCATTCCAGTGGATACTTAGCATTCTTTGAGAAGCCTCTATGTGGTTTATAAAATTAATATTTCAAATAAAATTCCTATTGCTCAAACTTTTGGTCTGTTTGCAAAGTTTGGCATGAATTTAACTGGAGAAGGTTCTAAGTATATTTTAAACAATTGTGCCCCCTGGGTTTGAGCTCCAACAGTGTAGAAGAAAAAAACACACACATATGCACACACAGACGTGCACAAACAACACTGTTTGCAGCTGCTTACCTCCATGAGTAAGAGTTTTCTCAATGTTTTGCAAATAAAATAAAACACAGAAACAAGTCAGATGTTAAAACTGATTAAAATCAACAACAAGCCGGCAATTATCTCTTAGTCTCCATGCACCATGCTCACCTACAGCAGCGTGGTTAGGATGGGGATGCTAGCCCGGCTGGATTTCGTAGTGTTGGTTCTGATGCTATGCTGGGCTCTGTAAGACCGACTCAAGTCTGTAAGGATGTGACGATCCTCAAGACCCTGAACTGCCCTGGAGGGTGCTTATCTGGGGAATGTAGCAGTTACCCTAGAAAGGTTTGAGTAGACGGATTTGTTTGACCTATGTGTGTGTGTGTGTGTGTGCATGCACACATGTGTCAAGGTGCTTAGGCGGAGGTCAGAGAAGAACTTGAGGGAGTCAGGACTGAATCAGGAAGACAGCTTGGTGGCAAGTGCCTTTCTTCTCTGATCCATTTTGTCAGCGCAAAGGACAGCTTAATAGTAACTCTTCGTGGAAGCTTCCCTGAGCTTCTCTGAGTAGATGCGATTGCTTTTGGGTATACCATTGCACAATCATCTGTGTTATTATTGTCAGGACATCCCTGTCCTGCCCTATCTCTTTCTATATCTCATGCCTATGTGTGTCCCCTCTGTTTAAATGTCCTGCCGAGAAATGAACATTCAAGCCAGACTTGTCATAGAAAGTTTCTATGCCACACTTGGGGACTGCTTCTGTTTTTGTTCATTGTCCTAGCTGTCCTCAG